GACTTCTGAAAGCCTAGTGCCCCAAGTGTTGCACCTCTAATGGAGTCACAAACACCACTAGCAATAAGGATGACTTAGGAGAGGGAGGAGGAGGCACAAAATTCGTCCAAGGGCTCTCTTAGAAGGTTAGGGACGAATTTGGTGGCCTAGAGGGTACCTTTTATAGTTAGGCTTCTAGGGTTATCAACTTGGAAACCTTAATCCAGTTGCTTAGTCCTTAAGCAGCCCAAAGATCATTCCAGAAGGCCCCTTGGACGATTTCTATATGGACTCTCATATAGAATTCGTCCATTGCTTCCTTATGGATCTTAAGCCCAACTCTGTAACTATCTTATAATTATAGTATCATTCCCCTTGATTTAATTAATCTCTTTTGACCACAAAATTAATTATAAATTAATATTAATTAAACAAAATAATCTCTCTTTTAATATATTATTCATATAATATATTAATAAATCATAATAAATCCTCTTTCTCCTTAATTCATCCTATCAGTTGCTATGGTGAAGGCAACCCAAAAGGACCATGCTCATAATCGAGTCAAGTACATACCAAAATAGTTATGAGCTTAGACACCTAATCCAACTGGAAATTCTTATGGAGTGGGAGTGATACCGGTTCAAAGATACATTGGGTATCACGGTCGAAAGTTGTTGCATCTAAAAAAACGGAGGGCTTGGAGTAGGGACGTTAAAAGCTCAAAATATTGCTCTACTCACAAAATGGTGGTGAAGACTTAAAGATACAAGTGGTGGTTTATGGAGAGAGTGCTTAACAAGCATCCATAACTTAAAACGCATGCCCGTAACGAATATTGCAAAGATCTCGTTGGGTGGTGTATACAGCGACATTGCAAAAGCCATCAAAACTCTCCCTGAATTCGATATTAATTATCATGAGTTGTTTACATTAATTCTTGGATCGAATGTTAACATTCTTTTTTGGAAAGATAGATGATGTGGCCCCTTAACATTACAGGAAAGGTTTCCCTACTTATACGAATTGGAATCGGCTAAGCTATGCTTAGTTTCTGACAGAATTAATAGTTTTGGGTTCTCATGGAGGTGGAAGACGCAAGCTATGAATGAGGAAATTGCGAATGATCTGGGAAATTTGTGTTTAATAATTAACGAGGTTAATACTCAACCTGTGCAAAATGGATTTCGTTTCACCCTCACCTCCAATGGAAATTACTCAGTTAACACTCTTCGTAATAAAATTGATACCAATATTAGTCGTCACAATGGTATAAAGATAAACTGGTCAAAGGTAATTCCTCTCAAAATTCATTGTTTTGCTTGGAGAGCAGCTTTGGATAGACTTACAGTGGCAACAAACTTGATGGCTAGAGGTATCAAGGTACAGTCAAACATCCGCCCCATATGTAATATTGATCAGGAATCCGGTGATCACTTACTGATCAGATTCGGCTCGTGAATGGATACTAAGATGATGTGGTGTATCGAATACTTATTTCGATAAGGTCACGAACTTCCTCAAAATTCATTGTTTTGCTTGGAGAGCAGCTTTGGATAGACTTCCAGTGGCAACAAACTTGATGGCTAGAGGTATCAAGGTACAGTCAAACATCTGCCCCATATGTAATATTGATTAGGAATCCGGTGATCACTGACTGATCACAAGTAGCGTGGCTAAGGAGGCTCGTGAATGGATACTAAGATGGTGTGGTGTATCGAATACTTATTTCGATAAGGTCACGAACTTCCTCAACTTTGCTGCTACATGGGGAAATTTTCCACGAAAGAAGGAGAGGCTGATTGCGGTGTGTTACGCTCTTCTATGGTGTTTACGGTTGGCCAGGAACAATTTGGTTTTCAAGAAAATACACACAAACCCTGCAAGGATTGCTGATGAGGTTATCTCCCAAACTTATTTACGATTCAAATTCTATACAAAGATGATGGAATGTAGGTGGATCGAATGGAGTATTTCCCCATTCTCTTAATTATTTTGTAATCCTCATTTTGTTCTTGTACTCTGCCCATGATCTAGTTACTTGCTAATCATGTGGCTTTTATATATATATATATATATATATATATATATATATATATATATATATATATATATATTTGCACTTTCCAAAAAAATCTAGCAAACTTAATGTTAATGAAACATTAATGAGGTTAGTAACATATAATTGTAATTTAATTAATGTATATTATTTTTCTTTTAATTTTTTAGTAATATAATATTTAAAAAAAATAAATCAGAGCCCCATTACAATTAAAGATCGGGAAATTCTATACGTACCCTCCAATTGCATTGTATACCCTCCATGTAAGTGTAATAGTGTTTGTGTACATCCATGATGTGACGATTTATGTGAATGAGAGGGATACATAAATAACATTCTTAAAGGTCTTGTACGCTCACGTTAGTAGTCGTACAACCCTAGAGCTGATTAACAATATGTTTAATATTAAATATATTAGCATACATAACTAAAAGTATATAAAAAGTCTAGTAAAGTCAAAATTATATCTTTACATATAAAAAGTAGTGACAAAAGTATCATAAAAACAATATCATTGTAAAAAATATGAAATAGACAAGACAAAACCACAACTGGGATGTCATTAATTAGAGGGTGTTTAGGTTTGATTATTGAAATAACTTATTGACTTAGTTTTTTTTTTTTTTTTTTAAATCTAATAAATAAAAAAATGTTTGGATATAAGAAAAATGGCTCTTAAAAGTAAAAAAAAAAGGAAGATTTAAAAAGTAAAAAAAAAGTTGGCTTTTTAATTGACTTTAGATTTTTTTTAAAACTGAAATTATGTTTATACCCTCGAACCTTCTAAAATAACTTAATAATCTATAAATTAAATATAATATTAAAAAAAATAATTTCTTGACTTAATAATATGTTACAACCATACAACTTAATTCAAACATATTTAAAAAATAATAATAATAACTTATTTTTCTGTTACCATAAATCAATAAACATTTTTGTCAAAAACACATTTTAGATTTAAATAAACAATTCCAAACAATAAACATTTATGTGTTGGTTAATGTGCTACGACTCGCCACAATATGATACGATTTTAGACCACCAAAAGAGGTCGACTGATGTGAATGTACGACGCTTGAAGAACAAATTGGGTGGATGATTTTGGACTTCAAAAGAGTAAAAACAAGTTAACTACTTAACTACAGTATCAGCCACCCAATCAGATCATCGGATTTCCTGTCGCGAAGTACAACCTCCAACACCATCAATCATCCAATCCGATTAACCATGGCGTCTTCGCTAATTCACTCCACAATTACATCCTCCAATGCTTGCCCACAATCTGCTTTCCCAACTCTAAACAAGGTCGTTGGTTTCAAGCATAGCCATATCCTCTTTCCCAAAAGAAGAAGACCCCTCATTCTCTTGGCCTCCATCGACGAAAAAGTTCCCACTTCCGACTCAACTACACCGTCGTTTCCCGGGTTTGATCTTCCCGAGGTTCCCGATCTAACGAAGGGCGATACACTCAAGTCTTTGAAGCTTAAATTACTGGTAACGAATCATTGTTTCTTTCCATTTTTCCTGGATATCTATCTTGTTTGAAGTTCAAATTTCGATGTTTGTTCATATAGACTGGTTTATTTCTGTATACAAATTCATCGCGTTTCTTGATTCTTGCTTGTTGGTTAACTTATCGAGTTTGTTTGCTTTCTCGAACAATCTTGGCTAAAATCTCACTAAATGTTGAACCTATGTTATCTTAACAAGTACCGAATCTTGACTATTTGATCACAGTCTGTATGTATCTTGATGTTTAAAGAAATTATCCATGGCAGAGTTCTGTTTCTGGGCTTAATCGAGGGCTTGCTGCAAGTGAAGATGATTTGAAGAAGGCAGATTCTGCAGCCAAAGAAATCGAAAAAGTTGGAGGACCTGTTGATCTCACAGCTGATCTTGACAAACTTCAAGGAAAATGGAAACTGATATACAGCAGTGCATTCTCCTCTAGAACCCTAGGCGGAAGCCGCCCTGGGCCGTCACTAGGCAGGCTACTTCCGATAACTCTTGGCCAGGTATCACTAGAATACCCTAACTTTCTTCTTTTGTAAATACTCTTACATGAAACAAGAACCATGGTGTTCAAATCCTCATTCTTTCTAACATCAAGAATTATGAAATTCATATAGTTTCATCTTTTGAAAACAGGTATTTCAACGTATTGATACCTTGAGTAAAGATTTCGATAACATAGTCGAGCTTCAACTTGGTGCTCCATGGCCACTTGAACCAGTAGAAGTGACTGCTACATTAGCCCATAGATTTGAGATCATAGGTGGGTCATCTTGAAATTAGTTGTATCTAATTTTAGAGCATATTTTGTGTAGTTTCTGATAATTTGTATGTTGTTGATAGGATCTTCTACGATTAAAATCATATTCGAGAAAACAACGGTGAAGACAACAGGAAATTTATCACAGCTGCCTCCACTTGAGGTACCCCAGCTACCCGAACAATTTAGGCCATCGACCAATAGAGGAAGTGGTGATTTTGAAGTTACTTACCTTGATTCCGATCTTCGTGTTACAAGAGGTGATAGGGGTGAGCTTAGAGTGTTTGTGGTTGCATAAATAGTTTATACATTTTGTCTATACAAACTTTATACTGTGATTTATAGCACAAAATAGTGAAATACAATATATTCGGAGTGTTTAATATTAAAAATGTTGAGCCATAGATTTTTTCTCTAAAAGAGTCAGATGGAAGACTCAAAACATATATAGTGGTGGATGTGACGATGATTAGTTGATATTGGACCCAACACACCTCATGAGATCATGATGTGTGTTAGCCCATGAATAGGCTCTGATAGCATGTTATGATTGAAGATATGTTTAATTCATTGATTGAAAGTGAGAAAGAGGAACATGGTGCCAAAAGCTTCTTTAAATATATTGATTAGAAGGGAAAAAACAACAATATATAACTAAGCTAAGAAAGGGAAAATGACAAAACAAGTCCCTATACTATACAAGTATACACATATAATGCTAACATTTATGTTAGCTGTTAGCATCATGGTTTTCTCCAATTAAGAAAGGTTTGAAATCTCATGGGTGAATATGTTCAATTATACAAAGCTTTCTAAGTACGATCTAGACTTTCATAAATAAGTTGTTGGTCACATAATGCGATAAAAAGCGGTTAAAGGTTCATTTAAATAAAAGTTCATCGACGAAAAAATGGATTTCAATCGACTGGTTTTTTGCACACCCCATCACTACATCCAGAATCTGCATCTTTGTTTTTGGTTTTGGAAGATCTTGTTGATTCACCTTTCTTCTTTCGGGTTTTTTTCCCACTTTGTTCTTGTGCTTGTGACTCCGACCCAAGAATTGAGCTCTTGATCTTTCTGGTATCACTATTACTTGTCTTGCTCTTTCTTGGCTTGTGATTGGGATTTTCAGATGAGTCGCCGTTCCCCAGGGAGGAACTAGTCGGTTGCCGCTTGGATTGCCTTGTCTTTCCTGGGCGGCTAGGTGAAGCAGTGGCGGTGCCAAGATCTTGAATTCACAGTAAAACTGTTAGTCTCACATTACACGAGTCTTTATTTTTTTATGGCTGTTTTGAAGAAAAAATCAAGAACTCGATGTATGTATCTTGCATGACATCAGAGGAGGGTGTAGTATCATCAGAGACTCAACATTTGTGTAGTCTAATCTAATCGAGTCTCCATCTCAAAGAGCATCCGTGGGTCCCACATTGACTCGACACATTCTGATCCACTTCTATATATGTTATTTATTTATTTATTTTATTTTTTGTCTCTTTCATAAGGGCATTTTTTAGAAGAAAACAAAAATTAAGGACTGTACATATCCCACATGGTATCAAAGCTGACCTCTAGCATTCTCAAGAACTCGATTTATGTCTAGTGTGATCTAATCAAACCTCCCTCTCACGAGACATAACAGAGTCCCAACTAGACACGGTCCAATCCATATTCATACATGTTGGAGTCTCCTCTGGACTCCTCTATCTCTCTAAGGAGACTTTTGAGAAAAATCAAGAATTTCACATATCTCATAGTTACAAACTCATAACATCAAACAAAAAATTCACAAATTTTCTGATTTTTACCTTTTGATCCAGCGTTTTTGTCACCGGATTGAGAATCGGAACCACTTTGAAACTCGTTCATCTGTAATAACTCGAACGTCAAACTATATCATGAAAATAAAGACAAAAATAGAAAAAAAAAATAAAAAAGAAATCGTGTAATGGGGCATACTAACCCAACTAGGCGCCGGGGTAGAAGGACCATCACATCCAATATGTGCGACGTGTTTAACATCCGTCGGATTACCAATCTGAATTTCTGGTTCTTTTTCATCATCTGTGTCTATAAAACATCAAATTGATTCATTAAATCCATAATTTAATAAATGTTTGTTTGGTTGAAGGCAATGGAATAACAAATGAATGAAATGAAACACATTAATTGAATAAGTCATTTACATTTCATGATTATATTTCGTTGGCATGTATGCTTAGGAATGGAATCAATTTTCATATTATCAGTCTAGTCCATTCTATTCTATTAGACAAAAGAAAACATTTTTCTTCATTTCATACCATGCAATCATTATTAAAGAAATACAATGACAAAAAGGCATGTAAATTACCAAATATGCAACGTAGGCCTCTGAATAAACCTTTCATAATGGGCGAATGGAAATAATAAACAAGATAATTGTATCGTATGGCTGGTACTGCTTGTTAGCCGGATCATATGGAGCTTCCTATCTTCAACAACATAAAATTAACACCTAATGTTAGACATCCCAATCAATTTCCAAAAACAAAATTGGAGAAATACATATACACATACATATACCAATACATCTACTAATACGTAAACATATACACATACATATACATGTATAAATATACAAACTCACATCAAATATGGAAACTCTCGCCCCACATGATCCTGGGGAACAAGCATTTGTGAGACCTTTGGAATGAAAAGAATACCCACGACCAGACACCAAATACGTATGGTAAAATTTGAAGATTAAAACGTATATTTAGAGAGTTTTTATTAATTTTAGGTAAAAATTAAATAAAACAGTTTAACATGAAAGCTCGGAAATGCTTTGTTAAGGATGTGAATTGGTACGAACCATTGGTGGTTTCCACAATTTAAGGGAGCCAACAAAATTTGGGACATATGGTTTATTTAACTCAATAATGACCGAAAGATACGATTTTATATTTACATTTTTGTCCGGTTAAAGTATATATTAAAAAAATGTATCTATGTAACATTGGTGTACATGGTCAATATCAAATACCTTTTCAACAGAAACCCACCGTACAAAATGCAGTCTGTTGCACAATCAATGGTCTACGCTTAAATATGATGAAATTTATGATGTTATATATATTTATGACGTACATATAACAATTAATAAGTTACTCAACCGAACAAGGACACATTTATTTAAGAACCGAATATTGGCGTCCTAATATTGAGCCGGATAATTCGTTCAAACATATAGATGGTTGATTTTCCAGCAACCCAAACAAGGCCATATCAGTCGGCTGCAAAGAGTATTATGTAACAGATGAAGTAGGTACTCAACGGCTTGTTAAAATCCGGGAACTCTGGAACTGACTAATTCGTTCAAACATATAGATGGTTGATTTTCCAGCAACCCAAACAAGGCCATATCAGTCGGCTGCAAAGAGTATTATGTAACAGATGAAGTAGGTACTCAACGGCTTGTTAAAATCCGGGAACTCTGGAACTGACTAATTTCCAAAGAGACCACCCTGTAGGGTGAGCGTACAAGTATACAACCAACGTAACCTCATACTGCAGTTGTTGGAGTTGAACTCAAATATAATATTCTCCCAAACCTAAAAATATCACCGCTTATATGTGCAGTCATTGATTTACTTTTCAAAATAGCCCTTATAGAAATATGGTAGCCTCAAACATATATAGAAGCATATGGGATTGTATCTAGTAGGTGTGGGATGCAAACACTCATCGAGAGGAACAGGTTGGTGATGATAGACTAGGAGGTGTTAAGTCATGGAGGAGCGAGACCCTCACTATGATAGCATATAAGATACATGTAAATACCTTTTTTTTTTTTTTTTTTTTGCAAAAGAGTCATTGAGGACAACGAAGAGACTATAACATGATGTTAAGTTGTAGAAATTGATTTCGTATAGCGGGTGTTGATAAAAAATGGTTTTAGATTTAAGAGATTAACGAGTCACACCTCAGATAAATTGAAAAACTCACAAACCTGTTGCTAATAACTTTCCACAAAAATGCTACAAGCCTACACTCAAAGAAGTACATAATAAGATGATCAACATAACATATAACTAATAAAAAAACTGTGATCAACATAACATATAACTAATAAAAAAACTGTTACATCAATCCCGCAGAAATCGGGAGTGTTTTAGGAGTTGACTTATCTTTCACTCTCTTACCTCTACTTACCCACGTCCTTGGACCTTCAAGAATTGTAACAAATACTTCTGGAGGAATTATGTCCATATTGCACACTTTGACTATAAGATATGACAACACACTTCTTAGCTCATTGGAATTCAGCCCCTTGTAGTTTTGAATCAACTTCATGATTTCAATCCATCCACTGAACATTAATTTTATCACATCAGTTACCACGAATTCCTCAACCATTATGCTATATGTTTTTTTTTTCTAGTTAGGCAAAGGGTCAACATTTGTAACTCTTGGGATTTATAGACCCGAAGTTAATAATATTTCGTGGTAAGTACCTCCTCGTATACACATTGCAAAATTTTCATATTCATCTTGTGATTCAACTCAGCTAACATTTCCATTCTTCATGTAACCTTAGAGTTTTGGTCAATCACATTATGTTGCTCCTCTAATATTCCTTTTTTGTAGACAACTCCATTACAACAACTTCACCAATCTTTGTAAGTTTTCACGAAGGAGGACTTTGTTGTGCTATTGACCAATCTTTTGTGCTTCATCTACTATGATCCCCATTTCTCTAACCATCTGACCAACTAATGGTAGTGCAACTTTCTGCTTCTTTGGTTGTGAGGATGACCGAGTATTGGCTTGGCAATTCTTTTCCCTTTGAAATAATAGAGTTGATTGGAGTAGAGTCTTCATCCTCAACCCCCCCCCCTCGCCAACCAGTGTTTGTCGTTGTTCTACATAAAGCACATAAATAAGTAAGGCATGAATATGTTTCTCTTTGATAAATGACATATCCATATCAACAAAATATTCTTCGCCCTATGATTTTGACTTCTCTTCGAAAAGGGCTCTTTGGTTGTAATATTCTCCCTATTTTTACATCATCAAGAATAACCAATGTAAGGGAAGCTAGTGACAAAGTGGCAGGATCCAAGGTACTAAATGGAACTAACTAAGAAATAAGAGCTTGAGGATGTGTACCATAATCATCTTGAGGAGGTGTAGAGCCAGTATCTGTAGAGGGCATAGCCAAGCATTGTAATAACATCATCATAGGGTGAGGAATAGGAAAAAACCGCTAAATCTGAGCAATTGTATTTCTGATATATTGAACAATGATTGATGGTTAAGGATGATAGTTCACTATGAAATGTTTTGAACATACTGTCAAAGAACATAGCAACAAAAGCATATAACAATTTTTCTAGTCAAATGTCCAATTAAAGTACAAGGATCCTATAGTTCATTCTATTAGTGCAACTACAAGATGAATAAGAAAACATACCTATTTGCTGGCCAATGATCTTCTACATTGTGATCTTGTTCTTGCTACCTTTGCTTGGATGCCAAGGATCCAAAGGAGAAACTCTCTAATGGAATCACACCTAAAAACACCACTTGAACAATGTGACAAAACTAGGAGAGGGGATGCAAAAATTCTAAGCCATAAACCCCAATAGGGTAAATAGACATCGGTTTTGAGAGATGGCAAGGAGGAGCCGGAAATTCAAGGCAATGGAAAGAGTATTAGGATTTGATCTCTAGCTTCCTATTTATAGGCTCCCAATTTCTGAATGCCAAAGCAATTGTCTTACTGCTGAATTTACATCTAGACTGTTTCTATTAATTAAATCTTTTAATTAATTAACATACAGTACATGTAATTAATTAACTTCCAATTAGTTACAAATTAGCTCCTAATTAATTTATGAAAACGTGACAAATTAATAAATTAATTCCTCCTAAATCCTGTTATCTTTTAATTACTCAAATGGATTTTAAGGGAAACCTAAAAGGACCCTGTTATTATTAGAAATATTTCCAATAGTTATGACCTTGGACACTATTTCCAATAGTCTCCAACTTGGACTAGTCATCACCTGTACAAGGTCTAACACTTTCAAATAATGAACAAAGAGTATGCCACCCAATACAACTGCCGATCTCTGATCAAATTAAGATTTAACCCTTAGACAAGAGATCAAATATTCCTATATTCTAGAGGATATTTGTATCAACCTAAGACATGGATAAGGGTCAATATCAGTGTTCAAGATTGTGTTGCCCGATAAAGGTTTGTGACAATTACATCAGACTACTAATTAAATACATCAATTTTTGTTAGGTGTAACATCCCAAAAATCATATAAATTTAAAATTTTCAAAAACAACCATTATCCATAATTGTTTACAAGAAAAACCCTTGTTTCAAAAGTAAAATCATATCAGAGTGTCCCGAAAATCAATATCATGAAAAATATTAAGATGAGCACGATCAGGCGTTCGCTTTCCCACGATCCTCTGAAGTACCTGGCACAATAAATTGAAATTGTAAGCCAAATATTAATGAGTTCCCCCAAAGTACCAACATACAACATAACAAACAAAAGCATGCAAATATAAGCCTTCAACCTGACTGGACCGCCTCGCAGGGCCTACAACCTATCTGGACCGCTCTACGGGTCTTCGACATGATTAGACCGCCTCGTAGGGCCTACAACCTATCCGAACCACCCCAGGTGTCTTGGCCTTCAGCACAAAGCAAGACCGCCTAAACCCAACCACAATATGTCGATATATGTAACAGGTAAACATAAACACAGATCCAACAAATACAGATAATCATACAGATCTACTAATCAGTCATATACTAGCATAACACTATCCTATAATCAGGATACATAATCTAGTGGGCCGACATTGGTGCCTTCGACCCACGAGTACAGTGAGGAAAACTTACCTCTCAGTCCAACGAGTAGCAGAACAGTACACAACACCGAGTATAACTCCAACACCGATTCCATCGATCACCTAAAGAAAACCGATGACCTAAGCTTAGTTAATAATCCCAAAAGACGTAAAATACCCAAACTACCCTTAGGTCAACGTTGGTCAAAAGGTCAAGGTCAACAAACCAGCCGAATCAACCCAGCCGAGTCAACGCAGCTGAGTCAAACCAACCGAGTCAACGCAACGTACCATTTGGTACACCCAGTGCACGCACCTGGTCACCTCAACTTCTTCTTAAGAGCTTAATACATCAAGTCCTTATGTCCAAGTCTAGATCTAAACCCAAAATATCACTATAAGTCATAAAGCTTCCAACTTTATGACTTTGCATGGCTAGAAGTGCTTAGTACCAACAAACCCTAACTTCTTAATCCATTAGGACATCCTAGCACACACATGCGGAAAAACCTAAGAACCAATATCATATTTTTATGCTTCTAGACATCTCAAAACGTATGAAAGCACATCTTATATAGGCTGGAGTATGCCATACTCATAAAGGTCAAGACTTGGGATCACAATGCTTCAAGAATCAAGAGCTAAAAAGATCTAAAGAAATGCAAGCCAAGTTCAGAACTTTATACCTCCTAGAGGTTGCTAGGTATATGAGGATTACAGATCCAAAGCTTCTTCAAGCTTCCAAGGTGAATCTACTTCCTTCCTTCTCCTTCAAGGTCACCCAAATGCACACCAAAGGTCAAGAATGATCAAACAGGGAACTAGGGTTTGCTAATGGAGGTTGATATGAGAAGAGACTTGGAGGCCATAAAGATGTTTAAATAGGGTCCAAACCCTAAAAATTAGGGTTTGGGATCCTGCCAGGTATGCCCAACGTACGTGCCCTATGCCC